AACTATAAAGGTAGTTTTGTAACAAAAAGGGAGAATAGTTAATCTTACAGTCCAGAAACAGAGGACCCTAGAATCATCAAGGGAGAAGAGCACAAGCGGAATGCGGGAACTTATCCAGAGAAGCAGGGACACCAGAGATGGAGACAGAGATGAGGACATGGAGAGAGGGAGCAGCTGAGGACTCTGGACTCATGGAAAGAGAGGGACTGGGTGCTGGTGGCCAGGAAGCAGGCTTACAGAATGTGCCTTTTGGTTATTTAAATTATTATATATTCCTGAGTGTTTCTGTGTGCCCCACCCCTCAAAAAAAAAAAAACAAAAAACAACAAAACAAAAACCAGAGGGAATGGAAGCAACACTGTTGAATGACGATGCACTGTGGAGATAATCATTGCAGTGAAACAATGATGTAAAGCCTATATTCTCCCATGTAAACATCAGTTCACAATAAAAACTTAAAAAAATGTAAAAACCAGGGCTTTGAACTAGTTATGGTTCAGTTATAGCCAACCAAGGGAAGCTGAAATGGACCTGAATTTGTAAAATATGGGTGTTACAGAGTCAGAAAAATTATGGGGTTGATGATTACTAGAAAATTAATCTCCTTAGAGAACAGAAGCAGCATGCAAGTGGCACATTGTTGGTGTTAAGTGTCGTTGAGTCGATTCCGACTCATAGCAACCCTGTATAGGGTTTCCAAGGAGCGGCTGATGAGCTTGAACCGCCGACCTTGCAGTTCAAACCGACTTTGCTGCAGTCCAGTGCATTAAACCACAGCACCACACCCGGATAGAAACTAAATTCCTTGATCCGCAAACTTGGAAACAAGTGTGCCCTGCTCAGAGATGGCTGTCAGCTGTCCACTTTGGGTGTTAACTCTCTACAACTCTGGGGATAACCCTGGTCTCCCACATCAGGCTCCCAAAAGGGCTCACTATGCCTCTTCCAAGTCTCTCAGTCTAAGACTTTGACCCGTAATTTACCCCATTCGGGTTATTCGAGTACACTCACATTTTATAAGTTTGGAGCTGTTCTGATTTTGCTGAGACAGCCATGACGGAACCAGTGTCAGTTGGTTTGAAGCTGTGTTTTAACAGTGAAAATATCAACTAAGACAGTATTTTTGTTTGTTTGTTTGTTTTTGGTCCCCTGCCAGTCACTTAGCCTATCTGAGGCTCAATTTCCTCATCTGTAAACTTGAACTGATGATTTTGAAGGAATCTACATTGAAATTTTGTGGTAGGCTAGACAAAAACATGAAATCTTTTGTTATTCTGATTGTGAATAATTTGGGTATGCCAGTGTTGCTGATGGTATTATAAGTTGGTAAAGCCCTCTCAAGTAATACGTAGCCTTATGTGGCCCATTTCCATGTGATAAAAATTATACACCTGTCCTTGTTCTTTGGTTAAATCATTTAATTCAAAAGGATATGCTGCAGGTAAACCCAAAAAGAGGTGAAAAATTATGAGCTGTTTATTTTTAATGAAAATTTTCCTAGGGTAATTTATAGAAACCAAATAAAACAAAGTATGGAAACAATTCAAATACTCACTAATTGGGAAATGTGAAGTAAATTACATGAGGGCAGGTACCACGAATACTCACTAATGTGCTTCCAAAACAGATGGAACTTATGGCGAAGAGAAGAACTGGTAGGCTTTCTTGACAGCTGTTCTTCATCTTTCTTTAAGAGTGTTGTTAGCAGTATCAGTGTTCCTACCTGCCCTCAATTTCCCGACTTTCCAAATGTAACCCTTTTCAATGCTTTTCCATGACTCTTCTGGTTTTTCCTCCTCTATACAATGTGCTTGCCAGCTTTCCTGCCTTGGGCAGTACCTAGTTTTCACGGTAGAGGATGAGAGAGCTAAGTGCTCTCCTATCACTGTCACACCATACACCTGTGCACTCCGCCCCCCCCCCCCCCCCAATTCTGGTTAGATCAAGATTCATTGTTTCCAAAACTGTAAACACTAGTCACAACTGAGCCATGTTAAGTATACTGTGACTACTTTTTTTCCATGCAGAACTTTCTCTGGGAGTTAAAAATTTCCATGGTTTTGATATGCCAACTCTTTAAGGTTATTAATATAATTTCCACTTCAGACTGTCTCAGTTACTATGTATGTCTTCTTTCAGTGAGTTCAGGTATCTATAGTCTACTATTTTCTTTTTCTTGAATAAACTTCTCACATAGTCTTCAGATGTTTTCTAATCTGGATAGTTGTTCTCAGGTTCTGCTTGAGATTGAAACCATTGCAGTACCTCTAAAAGGGCTTCTTTATTTCCAGCAGGATAGTTGGACCATTACTGCAGGTGTCAGTGTTGTTGTTTTGAAATGAAGGTTAGCAGCTCATGAGAAGGAGCCCTGGTGGCTTAGTGGTTATGACTCGGGCTGCTAACCTCAGGGTCAGCAGTTCGAAACTACCAGTCATTCCATGGTAGAAAGGTGAGGCTTCTGCTCCCATAAAGATTTAAAGCCCCAGAAACCCTATGCACAGTCGCGATAAGTCGGAACCAACTCCACGGCACACCAAATCATGAAAATACAATTATTTACTATGAATTTGCTTATGATCCTCCTTTAATTACAGAATACATTCTTTTTTTTAATGTTCTATTATAAATTATGTGATAGTTTACATGGGAGAACATTAGCTTTACATTCATCCTATCGTATATCATTCCATTGCCATGGTTACAATCCCCTCCATGCATCATCAACCAACCAAAGGATATACCCTGCAAGCCTGCCACCGGTTGTCAGCACACAGCCCCTTTCCCTCTCTGTGTCTGAAGTCCCCAGCTGCTCCATCGCTCCATGTCATCATCTCTGCCTCCATCTCTGGCGTCACTGCTTCTCTGGGTAGGGTCCCACTCTCCGCTCATCTCCCTTGATATGGTCCCCTACATTGCAAAGTCAATCACTCCCCTCCTTTTACTACAAAATGTCTACCTTTATATTTCCAACCCTCACAATCAGTCCTGATGACAATTATTCATTATTGTATCACAAGAGACCTATCTGCATCTCCTTTCATCAGCCCTGCCGAGACAGATTGGATACTACTCAGTGGAGATTCTACCTTCCTCCATGCCCTCTGGATCTAGGTTCCCTCTTGAAAGCTTGTAAGCCAGTCACTTCTTGCCTCTATAACCTCCCCCCCACCCCCCATTCTGGGTATCCAGTGTCCAAATTGCCCATCCCTGTCCTCTCCTTGTGTGGAGGGGTGGGAGTGATCTTTGCTGTGAAGATTTGTTACCTCCTTTGAGCTACTGTTTCCATAGGTGTAGGTCAAGTTCATCAAATTGTAGCAGATTACTCTTTTTTTCCCCCTTTCTACTTCTAGTTAAGCTCTCATCATCCAGTCACTAAAGCCATGTCAAGTGGGTATTATCTTCAAGTGTGGGTGTACTTATGCATGTGCCCTCTCTTCTTATTAGCTGGACACTTCACTTTCCACTGTTGCCCTCTGTGGCTATGTCACTTACTCTGGACCACACTGCTGGCCAACCATCTATCCACCCGGGTTCACAGGAGTCTATTGAACATTGTAGGGCTTAGCTCACAGCTTCATTGCTGTTTTTTCCTCACTTCCCCTTATTGGTAATGAACGTGGTCACCAATCAGAACGTGTATTCCCATTGAGTCTTAGTCTTGGAAGGGCATTTGTTCTGAGGGGACCCGACCACTTGGCTTGATGTCTCCTGGGTGAGCAACTTGCTTGTTCTTGTAATAATTAGTCAGACTACCTTTATCGTTTTGTATTTTTCCTGTTGGTGTTTCTTTCAAGAAGTATCTTCTGTTCTTCTAGCCACTCCAAGCTGGTCTGCTTGTCCTTTCAAGTGGAAATTACCCACCTTAGAAGATTCTGGATGTGTTTCAGAATTCCATCTATGGTCTTACGTAATGCAAAGGCTCCACAGGAAGTCTTCACTGGGCATGGTTTAGCCTCATTTTAAGTATTCCAATCAGTTATAGGCAGAAGACGGACTTACAAACTTTCTATGGTGATACTTCTTGCTATTCCTTTCTCTCTCCCCTCCAGTGTCTATTTTATAATGGTATGCCAGGGAAACCAAGATTCAAAAGACAGCCAAGCATCTTAACATTATTTCCCCCATTTTGCCCATTCCAACCATGTCTCAATCCCTGTATCCCAGAGCCCTGTTGTTCCAAGGTTGTGCATACATCATTATTTACCTCTGCCCCACTTAGGCCATGCAAACCTGCCTAATTGTTTTCCTGTCCGCTTTGTTCTTCCATTCGCTTTCCCCTTCTTGTGTATTGTCCCCGTTCCTAGTTCCTAGCACCCAAACTATCCTGTGTCTGTTCCCTGCCCTGTGCTCCACCTTCCCCTCCCTCCCCTCACCTTCTCCTCACATCTCAGTAACCAGCAAAGAATCCCCTCCACCTCCCTTTAGCATAGGTTCTTTTTCTTAGTCTTTTACAGTAGTGGTCTTATGCAGTATTTCTCCTTTTGTGACTGACTAATTTCACTCAACATAATGTCCTCAAGATTCATCCATGTTATGCAGTGGCTTGCAGCTTCCTTGTTATTTTTCAAGGTAGCATAATATTCCATTGTGTGTATGTACTACAGTTTGTTTATCCATTCTTCAGTTGATAGGCATTTAGGCTGTCTCCATCTTTTTGCTATTGTATATAGTGCTGCTATGAACATTGGTGTGCATATATTTATTTGTGTTATGGCTCATATTTCTTGTGGGTAAATACCAAGTAGAGGAATTGCTAGATCATAAGGTATTTCTGTTTCCAACCTTCTGAGGAAGCACCATATTGCTTTCCAGAGAAGCTGGACCATTTTGCAATCCCACCAGCAATGCAGGAGCATCCCAGTCTCTCCACATCCTCGCCAGCATTTAACGGAATACATTCTTAATGTTTGATTGCTTTATGTATAGTGTATTAAGGAATTACTAGAATAACCTTAACACATTTATACTTTTAAAAATTATATTGCATTCTTTCTTTATAGGCTCTTAAAATAAGAGACAGCTGTAATTGCCCACCTCTTTCTGGACCTGACCCTCGATTACTGTTCAGACTCACCACGAAGCATTTTCTGGAAGAATCAGAGAAAGAAGATAAAAATATTACTGTTAAGAAACATAAAATGGATACTCTTCCTATTCAAAAGCAGGAACAAATACCGTTAACATACATAGTTGAGAAGAGAACTGACAGTTGACTGAAATTCTGTTGAGTCACAGGGTGTATGAAGAATGCAGCAGTCCTATCATATTATGTTACTTTAAAAAAATTATGTTTGAAATGAAAAGAAAAGGATATTCAGGGTCAAATCATGTATATTGTAGATATTGCTTAAATTCTTTTACTATGTATTTTTCATGAAATAATGATTCATTTTTAACTATTTTAAGGTGTCTTCAATGAGGAAAACGTCACAGAATAAATTTATATTACATGTTTTACTCTGTCTCATAGTAACTTTTGATTGGGAAGGCAGGACCCTAGTGGATGAGAAGTAAGACTGTGTGGTAACTGTTACTATCAGAGGGTCCTAGCTGAGTGTGAACTGAGCTTCAGTGTCTAGGTGGTTCTGGTGAATTGGGAGGTTGGAAGACTGAAGTCAGCCTCTGCTTACAGGAGTTGGTTTACAGTGTGTGGGATTATGTCTAAAAGTGGACTTTAGGATTCAGAATTCCATAGTCCTCACCCATGGATGGTGAAGGAAGAAGGCTGCAGCTATTTGTAAGGTATTTTCATAAGGAGGCACATGTTTGGGCCCAAGTGACAAAGTGAGAAACAAAAGAAGAGGGTAGATATTTCCATGTAAGCACAATGTGGTTCTGGTATACTGAAGTCATGTTGGTTTCTTGAAGTTCGTTTGTTTTTTCAATTTGGAAATCTCAGGGATCTCATGAAATCTCAGGGGTATCATGAAAGAAACGAGCCTGTTGAGAGAAGCACCAGAGAGGTAAGGGCGGTTGCTCTCCCCAGGTTGATCATCCTGAGCCAGTGACGCCAGCAGGGGAGCAGGAAGAAGACCAGGAGAGAAGCAACGTAGAACATATTCCTAGGGATGTCCAGAAATTACTACTGTATCATATAAATGTGAGGTAGCAATTATATGAAACTTATGGTACTCCAAAATGGGTGAGGCCTACTGATGTTTAGGTTGCATTCCTAAGAGAGACATTCTTCTTATAAACATTCTATTAAATACTTTCTCAGAGAATGATGGTGTAAGGGAACTACCTTTTACTGAGTTCCTCCTATGAGCCAGACTCTATGTTAATCTAATTTATTCTACAACCTTATGAGGTAGGTTTTAGTCTCATTTTGCTCTCTCATTAGAGGTTAATATACCCAAGATATTTCCTCATAAAAGCAAAAGCAGGTCTATACGATTATGAAGCCATCCCATTTTTTCACTACTTCCTCATGCATAGTTTCAATACAAGTAAAAAATCTCATAATTATAAAACCAGAGATCATGTGGGTTGTCACCAGGCTGATTTTCTAGGCTTCCTTCTCAGACCCTTCTATCTAAATTGAAATGAAAACTTGGGGCGAGGCTGAGTGGGAAAGTAGAATTAACTACCTGTGAACGTCTGTGAAATCATATCTGGAATGTGTCCTGACACATTTCCTTAGACAAAGTATTTAGCTAGCTGTTAAGAAGATGAGTTCAGGGCCTATTTATGTATTTCAAGGGTTACTAGAAATTGCTTATAGGATATTTCTTGATCTGTGTGCAAGACATCACTTGTAAAGAGGAGGTTCAGATGAACTGGTCATTCTTATAGTCATTCTTTACACTCCTAGTGACTGGAGTTTTGTGAGGGACACTCAGTAACATGTAAAGACATTTGGGAAATGTCACCTAGAGGTAAACAGTAAAATCACCATTAGATTTCCCTGTGGATTTCCTAGTAAAATAGCAAAGTGGAAATCCTAGTCTGTTTTTTCTTCCATCCCATTGTTACATCTAATTGTGTTGTTGAGCCTTAACTATAAAACATGCAAGTGGACATCATGTCAGAAAGAGCTGATATAGATAATGTATGGATAATATCTTTTTAGTATATATGAAAAAGGTGGGAGTTTGGAGGGGGGGTTTTCCCTTCATACGTAGAATCAATAAAAGCAAAGGAAATGTTATATTTAAGCTCAAGGTTTGAGAAATTAAGTGGCAGTTTCACTGAAGTATATATGTGTATGTATACTTTAAACATTATATGGAAACAGCCTCTCTGTATGTTCTTTATTCTGTGAGTGTTTTCTGTATGCCTATAAGATTTAGATTTTGACTGGGTAGCTCAGATATTAGGAGTGTGATAGTAATAAAGACAAGGCACAAATGCAATCCAGGGTCTCTTTTAATCAAGAAAAGGGGCCCTGGTGGCACAGAGCATTAGACATTGAGCTGGTAACTGAAGGTCAGCAGTTTGAACCCACAGCCTTTTCAAGGGAGAAAGATGAAACTGTTCCTCTGTAAAGATATACAGTTTCTGAAACCATATGGGGCTATTCTGCTCTGCTCTTCAGATTGCTATGAGTTGGAATCTACTTGACAGCAGAGATTTGGTTTTGGTTTTATGATTCAGATCATTGAAAGACTATATACTCTCAAACCAAGCTCAATGAGAGTAGGGACGATATATTTGCTATACTCCAATGGAGTCCTGGTGTGGCGCTGTGAGTTAATGCGTCAGATTGCAAAGCCGTTAGAACTGTAAGCTTGGCGTTTCAAGCTCACCAGCTGCTCCTCGGAAACCCTATACAGGGTCACTGTGGGTTGGAACCAACTTGATGGTACTTAACAAAAACAACAACAACAACAAGCAGGACCCCACAGGAGCTGAGGTTGTCTACCACAGGATGGAAGGTGCAGTCATAGGATCTGTCACAGCAAGTACGAACTGGAACTGAAACCCATTACATTTATCTTCTCAGCAGGCAAAGAAACAAGGTAATTCCTAAAAGATTTTGGTCTGGAATAAGGTTTAATATGAGCAAAAACAGTACATCATATGTTTTACATTGATATGATACTAAGTTTGCTTTAGCATCATTGCTTTATTATTTCCACGACATTTTTTAACCTGAATGATCTCATAGCCTCAAAACCAAGTGGTTTTATTATTCAGAGAAAAGAAAAGGAAAGCTTGGAGGAATTAGGCAAGTACCCAAGTATTCACTTAAAGTAGTTGACTGAACTAGGGTTGGAATGAAAGAATTTATTGATATGTAATCTAATGCTGTTTCTGTAATATCCCATTATTGATAGGGAACATTATTGTCTCTGCTTTTTATCTGGAAAACGAAGTTGAAAGATACTAAATTAGCACTGCTCAGCTCTTAATGGTAAACATGAGATTCAAAACTTCATCTTCCATACTTCTTGAAAGACCGACAGGAAAAATACAAAACAATATAGGCAGACCGACTGTTACTACAAGAACAAGCAAGTTGCTTGCACACAAGACATCAAGCCAAGTGGTCGGGTCCCCTCAGAGCAAACCCTCTTCCAAGACCAAGACTCAATGGGAATACACACTCTGATTGGTGACCACGTTCGTCACCAATAAGGGGAAGTGAGGGAAAAACAGCAGTGAAGCTGTGAACTAAGTCTAACCACGTTCGATAGATTCCTGTGAACCCAGGTGGAGACCTGGTTGGCCAGCAGTGTGGCAAGACCTGGGGACTCTTGGGCCCAGAGTCAGTGATATAGACACAGAGGACTAGAATGGAGAGTGAAGCATCCAGCTGATAAGAGAGGGCATATGCACAAGAACACCCATACTTGCAGATAATACCCACTTGACCTGGCTTCAATGACTGGATGATCACAACTCAACCAGAAGAAGAAAGAAGAGAAAAAAAAGAGTAATCTGATACAATTTGATGAACTTGACCTACACCTATAGATGCAGTAGCTCAAAAGAGGAAACAAAGCTTTACAGCAAGGATCATTCCCACCCCCTCCATACACAGAGTAGACAGGATGGGCAACTTGGACATTGGCTACCCAAAATGGTGGGGGGAGGGCCTACAGAGGCAAGAAATGACTGGCTTACAAGTTTTCAAGAGGGAACCTAGATCCAGAGGGCTTGGAGGAAGGTAGAATCTCCACTGAGTAGTATCCAATCTGTCTAGCTGGGGCTGATGGAATGAAATGCGGATAGGTCTCTTGTGATACAATAGTGAATAATTGTTATCAGGACTGATTGTGAGGGTTGGAAATGTAAAGGTAGACGTTTTGTAGCAAGGAGGGGAGTGATTAACTTTTTAGTCTAGGAGCGGAGGTCCCTGGGATCATGAAGGGAGAAGAACGGAGAGTGGGACCCTACCCAGAGAAGCAGTGACGCCAGAGATGGAGACAAAGACAATGACGTGGAGAGATGAAGCAGCTGGGGACTTTAGACACAGAGAGGGAGAGGGGCTGTGTGCTGACGACTTGGCGGGAGGAGGGGGCATGCTTGCAGGGTATACCCTTTGGTTGGTTGATGAGGCATGGAGGGGATTGTAACCATGGCAATGAAATTATGTAGGATAGATGAATGTACAGCTAATGTTCTCCCATGTAAACTATCACATAATTCACAATAAAACATTTAAAAAAGAAAAACAAAAGAACATCTTCCAACTCGAAAGAGTGTTCTTCATCCATTTGCTGCCACTTCAATTGACAAGTCTCAAAGGAAGTGAAAACCAGAAGTGCTCACTTTCCCTCACCCCTTACTTCTGAACAACAGAGCCAATGGCCTTTTTCCCCTTGTTTAAAAGTACTGATTTTAACTTTACAGCAGGTGGTAAAGGGATCCATTTAAAACATATTTATATAATTGTTAATTGCTATTGATTTGGTTAGACTCATAGCAACTTTATATAGGGTTTCTGAGGCACGGCTGGTGGGTTTGAACCACTGACCTTGCAGTTAGCAGTCCAGGGCCTATCTTACAATGGCACACCAGGGCTCCTTTCATACAATATGAAGGACCAAATTCCTGTTAATCACTTTTGGGTGGAGCAAACATTTAAAGCATTGGACTACTGGCTGAAAGGTTGGTGTTTCAAACCCACCTAGAGGGACTTCAAAAGACAGACCTGCCAATCTGTCTACAAGGTTACAGCTCTGACAGTCCCATGTACAGTTCTATTCTGTACATGAGTTACCATGAGTTGGAATTAACGCCATGATAAACAACAATTACTTAACCT